TGGATCCACCTCTGCGCTGACACTTTATGGTGGTCAACTAGAAGTCGTCCACAAATTTAAGTATTTGAGCAGGTATATTAGCCCCCGTGGGATCGAAGATGAGGTTGCCAAACGTAGAACGAAAGCTCGAAGCGCTTTTTTCAATCCCCACTAACTGTGGCGCCAGTGTGACATCGTTCACTCCCTGAAGGGCGGAGTTTTTCATGCGGTCCTCCGCTCAACCCTCCTGTATGGTCACAAGACGTGACACATCAAGTAGACAGACATAAAGAGGCTAATTGCGTTTGATCATAGCTGCTTTAGCAGCTTAGCTCATGTCTATTGGGAACACTGCGTGAGCAATGATCGTGTGCGACGTCGTGTACTCGAGGCAAAAAGAACGAGTGAACCGCTCAGCACCATTATTTCACGCACCAAGCTCCGATGGTTAGGCCATGTATTGCACAGGCCAGCCCACCGACTCCTGCGACATGCGTTGTTTGCGCGCAGGTGGTGTGGATGGACGAAGAGGAGGGGAGACTAAGCAATGACTTGGTTAAGAGGAATGAAGTTCCTTACTGAGAACTTGGCGTCGGTTAGTGTTTCTCGACTGCCGGGCTGGAGTCCGAAGAACGAGCATTTTGATTGGATACACTAGTTGACATGGCAAGGATCCGACTTCAGCGGCGTTTGTGTTGTGGGTCTCTTTGTCATTCTTCTTCCCTTTAGCTCCCCTCCAACAACGTTCTCAACGCAATACATAATGTACTTTTAGCATTGTTACTATTTTTTAGCTTTTGTAGCCTGTAATGTTTAATATATTATCTTTTTCGTATTACGGCACATTAGCTGGGGTGTGTTTCTCACCCTCAGCCAACATGTACTGATGATGATGATGATGGTGATATTTGTTATTGCGGCACATTAGCTGCTGTTTGTTTCTTACCCTCGGTTAACGTGAATTGTTGATGATGATGGAGGCTTGATGGAAGGCTTGAGCAGTAGTATCCAAACCCCTATTCACCCCGCTCGATGTAGCAGGTAGGGCACCGTTGATCTTTCTTTGCGACAGCCAGAGCATCAAAAAATTTTTCGACTAGTTCATTGTAATGTGTGGGTAGGATTTGTAAATTTACCCCAGCCTAAACAGGAGAACGATTAGGGTTCTCAAACAAAGCCTTTGTTTCACAAACCTGAGCGCAAGGCAGCGGGTTTAGAAGTGGGCTACAAGGGATCGTTTTTAAGGAATTAGGAGCCACCCTCACTCCCAACCCCAACCTAGAGGACCAGGAGGTGTTGTGTTTCCGCTGACAGTACGGATAACCAATACAGCCACTCGGGTCACGATTCGGTCGCTTACACAAATGCCTCTGGCGGAAATTGTATGGAGCACCCAGACGGCATTATGTACAACCAGAATATGGGGTCAAGATAAATAGTTCATGAGATAATGACCTAATTGAAAGTTCCTGTACTCTAGCAACTATTCGATGCGCGAAACCTCGCTTGCTGACTGTTCATGAAGTGCGCTTACTGGAGGACTTCAAGATAGGCCATTCTCATTGATCCACTTCAAGGTAAAATGATGTCATTGGCTTACTCTTATTGGTTAGCCAGTCAGCTTCAGGCGACGTGCGATCAATCTTCCCCGGACTGCTTTGGTGAGAGCTGGCTTCAATGGCTGTTATGAACAGACTCCCTTAACACCCCCGAGAAAAAGTGTTGCAAGACTTCCTCTTGGGATCCAGCTGCGTCGTCGTGACTGCACTTGCCTTCCTTCTGTGGTTACTGGGCAAGGCTCATTAGGTCCTTACTGAGTTCTAGCGTATATGTCGAAATTGTCCAACCGAATATCTAGTGGCAGCGATTCTTCACTGGTACTCATCTGAATGCTGTTTGGTCACAGCTGGGACCCACTCGAACTTTATCCTGCATTTGTCTACCTTTTCAATCGATCGAGCTTGTGTTCTACTGTGGTCTTTCAGGGCGATAGTCTGACTAAAACGGTCTATCCTGGGGGAAATAGGAGTACTTGCTTCCTGTATCGCTGATTGAAGTAATTTTCCATTCTCGAGTTTCTCTCTTGCCGGGCGATACGCTTCGGAAGCGGCAAAGAATTCACATTACGGGGTTTCCTACTCATCAGAACTTCTGCTGTGGACAGCTGATTCGGCACTTGTGGAGTTCAGAATAGATCTCTACAGTAGAAGGAAAACATGGGTAGTTCCTTTCCCCCTCATCTTCAGCAGCGTCCGTTTAAGCTTGTCAACAAAGCGCTGCGCTTGCCCATTGGACTGAGGCTGGAATGGCGGCGGGCGTAAGTGTGCTATACCGTTCTGCGCATTACTATGCGCAAGAAGACGCATTGAGGACCATTGTCAGTAACTAGGGTCACTGGTATTCCACGCTAGAGGAAAAATTTTCTCACTGTGTTAATTTTTACGCCACTTGTTGTGCGCTCTATGCTGAACACTTCAAACCACTTGCTAAAGAAATTAACAACGATGTGGTACTGTTGTCCACTCACAGAACCAAAAAAATCCGCGTGTACTTGCTCCAACGGTTTCGCTGACAACGGCAAGGAAGACAGTTCCGCTTTTTGAGCACTTTGATGACAAGCGCACATTTCGGACACGATTTTGCTAGTTGTTCTAGCTCCGAGTCGATATTCGGTCAGTAAAGGTAACTCCGCGCGATCGTTTTGAATTATGTTAATGCCAGGGTGTCCACGATGAAACTGCTGCAGGATTCTTTGGCGAAGCTCCCAGGGCATAACAACTCTTTCCGCCAGAAGTAAACAACCATTGACGATGGATAATTCGCCTTTTCTCCTGGACAGACTTTGCAACTCCCCATCTAGGCTGTCCTTCGGCCACTGTGTAGTATGAAATCTGACTGCTTGTTGTGGGACAGGATCCTGCATTGATGCATCACGTATCATCTCAAAAGTTACCGGAAGCTCTCGGAACGTTTCCAACAATACCTGATTCACTTCCGACTCCAGAGAAATCTCTGCAATGATGGATTCTTCTTGCTGGCGCTGTTGGGTTTGCAATAGCCGGGAAAGTGCATCAGCTTGACCAGTGTCCATTGTAGAAATGTGCTTCACCGTAAAGTCGTAGCCGAATAATTTTTGCCGTATAGACGGGGATTCTCGACTTTGATCCTAAAATTGACAATAGCGTCTCGTGTTCAGTAAAAAGTGTAAACTTCCTTCCAAATGGCATCATGGGAATATTTTTACAGCGAAGACTATCGCCAAGGCATCTTTCTCTATCTGACCATAATTTTGCTATGCGGGAGACAGCGACTGGACTGCATGCGCAGTTATTATTACTATTTATTATTATTATTATTATTATTCAACACTTGACCAATGTACAGTTGGCAGTGCCACAACACAGTTAACAACAACAAAAAGGGGGAAAACGGGTAATCGGTGAAAGGATTAGGAAAGTTTAGGATCTTAATGTGTTTTGTGGGCAGAGGTCTTCCCGGTTGCCCAGGCCGAGGAAGAGTGTTGACTTAAGGAACCCCACCCCGAGCCTTTGGTCTTAAGATCTGACTCGCAAGGCAGCGGGGCGATTAACGAAAGCGGTTGACATCCGCGTGGCTCCTTCGCCTTCTTTGTGTTTAGTAGCCGTCCACAGAGAAGCCGGTGTCCAGCAAGGTTGTTCATCCGCTCTCCGTTATATACTCACCTCTGGTTACAGAAGTGGGTGGTCAGTGACCCTATAGCCGGTCACATTGGCTTTGACACAGCGCCGTACGAGCTCTTGTGGTATTTGATGGAGAACCAGATGACCAGCCCAGAACTCCCCACGCTCTGAGACGCTGCCGCTGATTGTCCGCGACTGCTTATTCATCTCGCCTACAAGGCAAACGAGACTTATTCGCAGTTACCTCCACAAGGAAGGCATTCCCCGATCCGCAACCTGGGGACGCGTACAGCTCCGCAATTGTTGTCTCTGAACCATCTGTGAACTTATGGGCTATGACTGTACCAATGCCATAGTTCGAGGCGTCTGCGGCCACCACCATCTCCAAAGTAGGGTCGTAATGTGTCAGCAGAAGGTCGGAACATAGCAGACTTTTCACCTCCTCAAGTGATCTCTGGCATTCTTCGGACCAATCCTAGCTTTTATCCTTCGTCAGTAGGCCATTGAGTGGGCCGCGCAAGCGATGCATGTGCGGTAGGAACGGGCTGTAATGACTTATGAGACCTAGGAAGGACGTTAGCGTTGCAACATCTTTGTACGGCGGCATCTTCTTGATTGCTTCGATGTTCTCTGGGTCTGGACACCTGCAGTTCGTGTCGATTATAAAGCCGAGTAACGTAATCGAGTCCATAAAGAAGGTACACTTCTCAGGTTGGAGTCTGAATCCATGTTCCTCAACGTGGCTAAGATCTCGATCCATATTTTCGAATAACTCATCAGCACTGCCTCCTACAACAACGATGTCGTCCAGATATGCGGCTGCTCCATCGACATCTGTCAGCATTGTGTCCATAATCTGCTGGAATATGGCTGGTGCAGACTTGACTCCAAACGGGAGACGGTGATACTGGTACGCTCACACACACTCACAGAGAGCGAAAGAGAGATGCTTTCGATGGCTGCTAAGGACGAGCTCCGGTAACCTTTTTCACCTTCATCTAATGTGTGTTGATGGTAGTAGGATACCACATAGACTTTAACATATGCTACGGTACCAGTGCTGGTCGTGGAAGATACCGATCTTTTGTTCAAGGCTTCCGGGTGATCTTCTTTTGCAATGCTGGTAGCTACTTCTATTTCTTCTTTGATTTAGCAATCGGTCACTCGAACTTGCATGCCAAAGAGTTGTGTGTGACTGGTTTTGCTCCACTTGCATTGAATTCGAACGTTTCAGTTTGCAGAGGCCTCAGCAATTCGGCGGCCGAAACCAAATCTATGCAAGTATATATTTCCAATTATTTTTCTCTTATTGTCTTGTAGTCATTGAAATCTTATGTCTAAGACGCGTTATCCCTTTCCACAGAGTTGTTATCCAACGAATGGGGAAAAGTAGACATCATAGTCCACACGAACATCTTCACCAAGGGAGTTCGATTTCGTCAGGCAGAGAAAAGCGCATCGATCATTCTCATGAATCTGTCTTTATTAAACCCGAGCCTCACGAAGATGTTTCACACAAACATTCACGTTCCAGTTCATCTAAACATAGACACACTCATAGAAAACACCGGCATGCGTCGGAACAGGGATCCCCTCTCTCAGCCGAACCTGAAAGACATCACAATAACCGAAGAATACGAAGTCCTGTTGTCATTAAGTCTGAAAACGGCTACAAAAAACGTCGTTTACATTCTCCTGTGGTTCTTCGTGACAGGCATACAAACAGAACCAATGAATCCTTTCACGAGAATTCTTCCAATCATGTCCGTTCTTCAAACAGTCAGACAAACTTTTCTCGTAGTGGACTTTTAAACGAATCTTCAACTGTCTCGAAGCAAGCCGCTCCGGTACAGAAGCAGCGCGCTAATTTCGGTCTCTCAGGTAAGGCACTTGTGCATCGTCATCCTATCATCGGCCGTTCCATATTAAATGCCTTTGGACGAACTTATCTGCGTGCATATGGATGCATTTTCCCAAGTGGATGCTCATCTGTTTATCCATTGGGCACTCGTCGCATCATTTTTTCACCAGTAATGCAACTGGACTGGAGTTTACTGTCATTCCTTATGGCTGCGTCAATGACGCCATCCCACGTCTTGATATCTGGATCTCAGTGGACCAATCCACTCCTGACGCTTCTTGCGTCTGCGTGGTTAAACAGATAGGTAAAACAGTTGCTCATTTGATGCCTAGGCAATATAATACGACCCATGAGGTAATAGTAGGCCTGCTTGTCGACGGCCCTCTGGGGCTTCTGCAAGTGGAATAACGCACAATTCCCCGGTTGCATTTGGAGTGTGCGACAACTGCAACTATGTAGGTTGGACTTTTTGGTCAACATTGCACAGTGCCTTTCATTTTTAATTCTACTTCTTTTAATCGAAAAGTTGGTTCTTCTTTCCGATTGTGCGTCACTGTCCTGAATGTGCAGTGTATTCGTCTCCACGTATTAGTATGCATATGCATACAAGCCTGTGCTTGTATGCATACATTGGGTAACATATGATGCTCTACGAAAGTTGTTGAATCTAGGCATTGTTTTTTATCGCTTTTCCTCCTTCTCTTGGTCCTATACAATATATCAAATTTGTGACTTAGAAGTTGATGAGTGGCTATTCGGTCCCAGTTTACAAGCCACCCGGATATAACTTGTAGAGAGACTTATGGCTGTCGCATGATACAAATGTCCTATCGAGTCCAAAGTGTTAAGATTTTTCAGTATCGTTGCTTTGGCAGACAATTATCATCGAGATCCAAGAGTCGAACATAATCTCATATTTCCTTCACTGTTATCTCGGTTCCTTTTCATGTGTATCTCACACTCTAGCACGCGACTTCACTTGTAAGGCCTAGCTTTTCGACTCTATCGGGCTTCTTCGGATTTGTGCGCTAATGGACACGTCGACACGCTGCTGCTTGCGGTCATGAACTTCACTAAGACCCTCTGTGGAGTAGATGGGCGATTTTATCTAACCAATGACTGTTCCGATGCGTAAGGCTTCCAGCTTGGGGCTGCAGTTGGGATTTGTGCCAACATATCCCATGAATGGGTTGACCGAAACAATTTTCCTGTACAAAACGGGATCAAGACACATTCATCCGCCTTTTCTTTGGCATCATTTTCGGCATCAATGGTAGCGCCTGAGTCACATCACAGTTTTGAGCACCTTCGCCCTCGCTGCTCTTTACAACGCGTTCGGGATTGAAGAATATAACAGCAAACGTATTCTGACCTATTTGTTTCGCTCTACTTTGTCTTATCCATCTTCACTGTTTATTGTGTTTTTCCCTCACATGTGAACACTGATTCGATCATTCCATACAAAACTGATGCATATTGACTCGATCAACCGTCTTGAGGCCGGCTAACATTAGGGCAAGTAGCGATATTTTGCATTCACAAAATCGAGTCCACATTTCAACGGCAATCATTTACCCATCGAAAATATTTGGGCAACCATTGGCGAGGAAATGTGAGGTTCCAGTTACTGGCCAACTGACGAGGCTAACAGCAGGTTTTATCTCGACTAAGCCACCGGTGTTTATTTTCATTGGTACCATATTCTTGAATTGTGTATGGCTGCAACTAGATTAAAAGATTTACGGGCGTATAACAGGTGCCTGTTTGTAGCGCTGACTCGGGGAAAAGTGACTTATCACCAACCAAACGGGCTGTCGTCACAGAGGAAGTACGGATACTGTAGTGCTAGCTAATGATCTGAACGCTCAGGTTTGAACATTATCCAATGATAATCTGCATCTGGGCGTCCAACACGGTGTAGGTCCCCGTAATGATAACGATGAGCGGTCGTTACATTTGTATGAAGGTGCTCCTCTGTTTCTCACAAGCACTACTTCCCGACACAGTATCCGCCGGAGGTTGTCATCGCACTTGCGATCCTGGGAATAGCCGTGGACGCAAAGCGATCACGTCACGATGTTACCACTGGAATGGTTGAATACAGAACCATCGATCGATTTGGAGCACGAACGTGGTCTCTGACCATGTGCTGATCTACGGTTGCGCTTCGGCGGACACTGGCGACTGCATCCTGAGTGCATAGATACTTGTCAACTGGTGAAGCCAGCCGTTCCGAATGCATGTCAGTGTACGCAGTACCGGGCTGAGCAAGCGCTCCTTTGAACGCAGTTGTAAGTCACTGATTACATATTCGCCAAACCTTATCAGCAGCAGATATGTCTTCTTGTGGTAAATCTGATTACCATCATGCGCACTGGGTCTCCGCGCGGTCTCTGGAACTTTTTGATGCTGGCCGATTCACGTCGGCTAAGAGCGAACACAACAAGACTCGCAAGAGTCTAGGGGAAAATTACGTGCTAGCCTAAGAAGACTTCGAGACCTGGTGGTCTCATCAAGCATCGGAAACGGAAACAGCCGCTACCGTTGGTAATCATGTTAAGTCATCCCATCTGCTACGTGAAACAGGCAGCAAGAGACCTGATGTTAGCGAATCTATTTACAACAAGAGTTGATAGCCTATCCACAACTTGTTGAGAATCGGCTCAATCGGCCGGTACTACAGTATTCGCTGCCGGCCAGTGATCGCTATACCCCCTGGACCGTCCCCTTGGATCCTTCATCTCGCGCAATACTCGAACGTGTGATCGAACTGTTGAAGTTGAACAGGCTTACGGGACCAGATGGGCTTATTCTAGCCCTCTACAAATTCGGAGATCGACTCTTATGGACGATTTGCATAGTTTCTTGGTGAAACTGGGAGCAGGAAACTGTCCTAAATGACTGGCTATGCTCCTTTATTTTCGCGATATTCAAGGGGCTCATTTTCGGAGTGCGGCAATCATTGAGCAATCCGTCCGATCTCTAACTTGTGTGCCTCTGTCATTCTTCATGTACTAGCGCTCCCAAAAGCCAGATTCGTGAAGTGTAGGCCGGGTTTCATCGAAATCAAAGTTACAAAACCACTACTTGTGATTGGGTCAAGGTCATACATCTTGGCGACCCACTGTGGTTGTATTTCACAACTTTGAAGGAGCCTTCGATTCCGCAGATCGATGTGCCCTCTGTGACTGTTGGATCAGGAAAGGTGTGCTCGAGAACTACGTGATTATCATCAAGTGTCTTGTGCGCGCAGTCCTGGCAGAGTGAGGGCTTATGCCAAACTGTCTCCAGCAGTATGATGATAATCAACAGCAGTACATCAGCCATTTGAACTGATGCTTCGCTGCCCA